ATATCATAATTAAGACTGAGCTAGCATATAAGAAATCCTAGTCAATTGTTCAGCAGCATTGTAAACTAATATAAGACTCTGTATGTCATTCTGGGTGTCCACATGGTGGCGGAGCTGGGGCAGATGGAGGAAAGACTTACTGTTACACCCCCTCTCTGTTCCCACTCTCTCTTGTTTCTCTCCCCCACTTTCCTTTCTCCTGCTGTTCCCATCTCCAGAGGCTGGTCTCCCCCCTCCCTTTCCCTTTTTTATGATCCCTTTCCCTATTAAAAATCTCTGCTTGGACCCTGTCTCATGGCGTCTTTCTCTCATGCGCTGCTTTTCTTAAATTACAACAGAGGGGACAGGGGAAGGGATAGGACAACAGAGGGGGGAGGCAAGATGAATATTGGGAAATCACTTCAGGTTCATATACTAAAATAGCACAACCAGCCCACTACTTTGTACAATTATTGTGTGCTGATGATTATGGCAATTATGTGATTAAAGAAATAATTGTCCGGGCATAGATGGTGCACACCTTTAATCCCAGCACTCAGGAGGCAGAGGCAGGCAGATCTCTGTGAGTTCGAGGCCAGCCTGGTCTCCAGAGCAAGTGCCAGGATAGGCTCCAAAGCTATACATAGAAAACCCTGTCTCAAAAAAAAAGTGAAAGAAATAATTGATTTAAGTTTTTTTCATTGTAGAAGCTTATACACACACATGCATAAAAAGACTTAAAATGTAGTTACCCTGGGATAAGGATACATGTGCTGGACAACACAGTCTAACAAATAAAAATGCCCATACCATGAATGGGTTACTGCTTCTGGTGTTTTTGTTAGTTTGATTTCTAATGCTAAGATAAATAAATATATTGACCAGAAGCAACTGGGGGAGGAAATTATTTATTTATTTGATTTACATTTCTGATCATGGGCTGTCACTGAAGCAAGCCAAGTCAGGAAATCAAGCTGGAATAGTGGCAGGAAACATATATAAAAGCTGCTCACTGGCTTGCTTCCCCTGGCTTGCTAATCTTGTTGTTGTGTGCTTATTTGTTTGTTTTCTCTTTTTTCTTTTAACTTTTTTATTTATTTTAAACATTATCCATAGTTTTCCCTCTATTTTTTCCTCCAGTTCCCTCCCCCACATCCTTTCTACCCCAACACCCATCCACTCCTCAGAAAGGGTAAGTCCTCCCATGGGGAGTAAGCAAAGTCTGGCATGTCAAGTAGAGGCAGAACCAAGCTCCTCCCCCATCCATCAATGTTGAGCAAGGTATCCCACAATAGGGATTTGGTTCCAAAAAAGCATTGAATCTCTCTGGTGCCAATATTTTTGATATGTAAAGTGTTTCTGTCTTTGTTGAGGTCAGCTATAGCACATTTTTCTCTCTTCCCCCTTCCAGTCTTTTCTCCACACATCCTCATGATTCCCTATCTTTCTATTGTGCCTAAAACTACTGCATTCTGGAGAATGAGAGAAGCCAGTCACAAGACAAAAGGAGATGGTAAGGCTTGTTATTTACAATAAAACAGGCAATTGTTTAGATTTCATATGAGTCATATTTTATTAATTCCTGATACAGACTGTAAACATGGTGATTAATTAGTCATAAACATTATTTTTCTTCCACTCACTATTATGTATATGGTTCCAGTTGGAACCTTGGAATATCCCATGGTGGGTAAGGGACAGAAACTTGCAGACATAACTTATGTGGAAAGATTTGGGGAAAGGAAATGGAGTAAGGGAAGGGAAGAGAGAGTAGGGAGAGACAAGGGGGAGACAGATAGAGACAGAAGAAGACAACAGAGACAGAAAGCTGCCTCCTCAGGGAAAGGGCAGAACAAGAGAGAGAAAGTAGGAGGCGCTTACCTCTTAAAGGGACCTCCACACCTGCGAATAGAGCCAGGGTACTGCCTGCCATCCTCAGAGGGTGACACACTGTGCCAGGTACCCAAGAGGTGGGCCCAGTTTACATGGATTACAGCATTACTTTTGTCATTTCTTTTATTTTTTGAGATTATAGTATAATCATACCAATCCCTCCCTCTATTATTTCCTATATTCTCCTCCTTGCTCTCATTCAACTTCATGGCCTCTTCTCTCATTAATTGTTACATACGCAGGTATAAACATATTTGTTCCTAAATATGTAAATATAATGTGCTTATCTGTACAATGTTGTTTGCATGTATGATTTCAAGGCTCACCAGTCTGTATTGGGTAACTAACTGGCATGCTCTTCTCTGGGAAAAAAAAATGTGTCTCACACTAACAAAATTCCTTAGTGGCACATTGGCCAGGGTCAAGGCCTTGTGCACTTTTTCACATAAACCGTAATAAGTCTATTGTTGTCCTTGTTCAGCTCATGTTCAGCCAGCCATGTTGGTGAGTCTCCTTGAGTGTAGCTTCTGACATTCTTAGGAGACACAATTTCACAACAAACTCCCTGACCCTCTAGCTATTGCTGTCTTTCCTTCCAACTTCTTCAGTGTCTCCTGAGTCTTAGGTACAGGAGTTTTATTGAAGACATATCCATAGGGATGAGACTCCACCACTCTGCATCTTGACTGGTTGTGTTTTCTGCAACGGCCTCCATCTGCTACTAAAGTCATGGATCTTGGGGGAGAACCTACAACCACAACCTTACGAAACCAGCACAATCCCCAGCTACATTCTAATTATTCTCCTTATCACATACACATTCCTTTGCACATTTTAGGATGTGCAATTCTCTTGTATTGAGTTGTGAGAATTTTAGACATTTTCTTTAAATGTAGTTGAACAAGATATGTGTTTGAGCACTTTCTCATAGTCAATCTTCTCTTTATTTCCTTAAGGACATTCAGATCTCTGTCTAGAAAACTTCAAAGCAATGAAGAGTAAAATTAAATATATTAAAAAGGTAACTCAGAATGATGAATTAGAAGATTCAATAACTTTAGTACCACCCAGTGTCATCTATGCATTCAATAAAATAGCACTGAAATTCTACACACTGTATTTTACATTTTGAATGGAGACCAGCTCACTGTGGATGGCACCATTCTGTGAGAAAGTGTCCTGGGTCATATAAGCTTCTTAGGTATGAGTCTCTGAGTAACCTAACTACAGAGTTCCTCCATGTTTTCTGTTGTAATCTCCTCTCTGAGTACCCGCCTTGATTACCAATGATGGACTATAACCAGGAAGGAAAGCTAAATGAATACTTGCACCTTCTATGTAGCTTTTTTTCTCAGAGAGATTTATCACAGCAACTGAAATGAAACCAGGAAATCCAGCTATCTGTACATTCTGTGTCTTCCATGACTTGATGTTCTTGCTGTTGCTGCAGTTTGTTTTCTCCTCACTAACCCTGATCAGGTCCACAGCAGAGAGACCTGGGAGCCTGCCTTTGCTTTTCATTCCCCTTTCTCTTTATCCTTTGTGAGATCTGCACACTGCAGCTCAAATGATCTCAGTGGTTCTGTCTTCATTCCTCTATTCCGTTAGTTCTAAGATGGACATTGATACTTCAGGACAGAGTATATATTGAGAAATGAAGATAAAACCAAAGTCCTGAACCTTTGAGGCCAAAAGCCTGACTGAGGTTAAAACTCTACCAATACAGGAAAGTGATACTAAACCAAGCAGATGTCCTGTTTTACCTTCATGATGCCTTGTGACTGGTTGGGCCACATCCACCCAGCTGAAGGTTTGTGTACTGGCTGCAGGTGTGTGGGGAGCACTGTGCATCTATAGCACAGAAATAAGTGCCTGAGTCTGTTGTCTGAGAGGAGGAAATGAACAAAGAGCTGCGACGTTCCTGAGTGACTGTGGTGGATGTCAGTCTTCCCCTCTGCTTTGTTCCAGAAGGATTGTAAAACAGGCTGATGAGGTGTCCCCTGGGATTTTGGTGAAACCACTGCACTTGTTTTGTAGTGGTGGAAAAGTTGCACTGCAGCTCTGCCCTCTCTCCCTCCTGCAGAACCAAGGACACAGGACTCTGCTTCACTTGTTGCCCTTTCACCCCTGATCAGAAACAGAGAAGAGACACAGATGGAGGTCACTGAGCATCCTCAGAACCCTGACCACACCCATGTCCTCTGAGAAGGAGGGAGCTCTGCAGGACTCCTGAGCTGCTTCCCACCCTCCATGCCCTGAGCACAATCCTCTCTGTCCCTGAGTGTGGACAGCCAGACTCACAGCAAACCTGGGAGCACAGCAGCCCCAGCAGAGAGCACAGCAGCCTCTTCATGGTGCTTGTCTAGATGCTGGAGACAGAAGCAAGTAACCAAGCCCTGGGCTGTGGTGTCAGGATGGCTGTTGAATGTCCCTCCTCCTGCACCAGGCAGCTCCACCCAGAAACCTTGTCAGACACTGCAGAATTCCCTCCCAGACTTCTGAGCCTGAAGCTCCTCCCAACCAGATGTGGCTGGGAGTCTGGGTACATCACAGTCCGGGGTAGAGGGTGCATTTTGAGATGAACCTGAGTTTGTATGCAGTTAAGGATCCTGGAAGCGGGAGAGCACCAGCCCCCTCCCAAATAGAAAAAGCCTCAGTCCCTTTGGAGCCTGGCTCACTCAGAGAAGCAACAGCTAAAGATTTAACCCAGGATGCAGGAGCTTGTTCTGACTCAAGACCCTTTTACTGGGGCCTGAATGTGGTCAGCAGATACAGAGAGAGAATGTGGAAGAGACATTGTCCATTCCTTGTGGGCATCTGTCATCTGCATAAAGTATGTTCTGTCAGAACACCTACTGCAGCAGTGGAGGAGGTTTACAAAAAATAGCTATTTACTAATTTCATATATGAATATTATGTATTCAGATCATATCCAGCACCAACACATTGTTCCCCTTACAACTCCTCCTAGAAGCCACTATTTCCCACTACTCTCTGCAGGAGAAATTGGAAGGGGGCATTGGGGCAAGAAGAAAGGGCTGAGGAGAAAGAGGTAGAATAGTGGAACACAGGTAGTGAAATGTCAAAGGGACATGAGGAGCTCTAAGTGGAGAATTCGTGGCAGGGTAGGGGGAGAAGGAAGGTTTCTGTGAGTTTGTCATAATCTATGGAAACACCATTTACCTTTTAGAAAGGAGTGTCCTCTAGAGGCCTGAGTGAGAAATAACAAGTTGATAGCTGCAGTGGCCTCCCCCTGTCTTTGCTGACTTCTGAGTGTGAATTCCAAGAATTTCTGATCATGTGCAGAGGAAGCTTAAGGCTTTCTAAGTAGAGATTTGTGAGTTTTTAGAAAAGGAGGAAATGAAGTTATGAACTGAAGTGGGATAGATTTTACATTAAAAAAATTACAGCATCTTTACGCGTTTCAAAACAATATTAGGAGCATAGTAATCAGAACACTGCATAGTCACCAGAGTTCTACACAGCACCATCAAAATGCCTGAGAAAAAGAAACAATTGATGTTGCTAGGAACGCTGCAGCTGTGTTAGCTCATGGAAAGTAAATTAGAGAGTATAAACTCAAATAAACATTGTAAAGATACATTTTTAAAAAACCAGCAAGCCTGCTATAGACAATCTTCACTTTGATGAATGCAGGCAGAGTAAAATTCAACAAATATCAAACTGATGAGAGACAGGTTACCTGTGAAGTTGCATTACCTTTCTTATAAAATACAACACGATTCAGAAATCACAGACCATATTCTAGGTTCTGCCCTCAGGAGAAGGCTATGTCATGCATGAATATCAGAGGACAGAGCATTGTATTCCAAGTCCACTACCACAATTCTCTCTCTAGCAAGGTATTTTGAGTGTTAACCTTGTACAAATAAGGTGCACTCTATCTCTCTTTCTCTCTCTCCCCTATGTATATGTATGTGTATGTGACTCTGTGTGTGTTGTATCAATAAAAGCAAAGTCACTGAGAACCTTAATACACAGAATTCAGTGAGACAATTTTGTGTCAAAGGAAGAACACAGAGGACAGAATCCTCTTTAGACAGATCAGAGGGCACAGTGTGGAAGAAGTGAACAGTGAGAGCAGGAAAGAACACTGGAAGCAGTCAGGGAGGGAGATACAGATAGATTACAACACTGGAAAATGCCTTCGTTACTTGAGCTAAGTAACCAAGAGGCAAATAGTCATGATGTAAAACACCATTAGCTAAAGATTGTGAAATCTTGATGACTACATCTATGTGTACAATGGGAGGCAGTGTCTCACATGAGTATGTCCAACTCAACATACATTCGCTCTAATCAGATCCAAAATGTGTTTATAGTCTCTTTATCATCAACTGGCAAATGAAAATTATACTTGAGGGGAATATGAGGAAGAACTGTCTTTAAAATGTTTTATTACTTGAATACAATTTAAACTAAAGACCATGCAATCACAGCACTGTGCTCTCCTTAGACTCCGAGTCTGTTTGGGTAAAGGACTCCGGAGCATGTGCTCCATTAATCCACATTAAATATTCTTCCAACCTGGATAATTTATCACCTACATGTTCTAAAAAGAATGCCTTAATATAATAATTTATCATTAATATTCACATTATAATTTTAACATGCATAAATCTAGCTTTGGAGAAATTGAATGAATTTATTCAAAATCTTAGTATCAGGCATGGGAGTTATTGTTCAGGGAGGCCCCAGAGGTATACAAAGCAACACAGGCCATTGTCATGGTTCTTGGTGCCCACTTTAACTAAATAGTGAGATCCTATGTCTAAAACCACCACTTTCTACTGTTGAATGACATAGAGAAATCAACCTGGAGCTGAGTGGAGAAAGGTCCTCCCTGCTGGTTACCATTTATAGCACTGGAAGGTCCTGTGCAGGCTGCCAGGAAAGGATAGAAATAATATTAACCAGAGCTGGACCATGTATGCTACAGTTCTGAACTTCTAGGTAATACGTGCTCAGTGGTGCAAAAGTGTCCTGACTGCTACATAATAATAATGCTGATTGTATTTGAATCCTACTACGTGGGAAGGAATTCACACCTAGTGCTGGAACATGGCCAAGAATCCCATGGTTCAGGAGGTCATAGGACTTACAGGGAAAACGACTATAAGGTTATTTTTCTAAATTGCCATGTAAAACTGCCTTATAATTGTGTGTTTATGATTACAGATAATTGCTAGACCCAACTGTGGTTGGACTGTGTGTTTCAGGAATTTTCTATAACTGGTTTCTATACCGTTTTGTTCAAAATGTCTTTAGTGTTAGTTATCCCTCCCTAGCATCCCCCCCTCTATTCTGCCATCTTATTACCACCCCTTTAATCCTTCCTGCTCCATTTCCCCGTTTATGGAAGTTTGATTTTCTTTTTTCCCTTCCTTTGAAGATCACCTCCTCCCTCACAGTCTCTTATGGATATCTATGTTAGAAGTTCTATGGATATTTCAAATGAAACATATTAAAAAGCACAGCCACATACTTGAGAAAGCATTGTTGGTTCTTCTTGGTCTAAGTTACCTTGCTCAGGATGACTGTTTCCAGTTCCACCCATTTCCCTAAAATTTTCATAATTTCATTACTTATCAGCTGAATAATACCCCACTGTGTAAATGTACATCTAGATTGTTTCAATACCTAGTGATAATGAACAGAGCACTGATGAACCTGGAAGAGCTAATATCCCTATGGAAATATGGAGAATCTTATGGTTAAATCTTCAAGGCTGGTATAGCTAGATCTTATGGTAGATCTATGTTCAGCATTTGGAGGAACCTTCATACTGATTTCCATATTGCTGGTGCCCCTTTGCATTACATCAGCAAAGAATAAGTTTTCTTCCTCATGTCATCCTCTCAGCTGGTGTCCTGGTCCTCCGTTCTTACAATCCCTCCTGCTCCTGTTCTGTGGTGTGCCCTGAGCCTTAGGTTTGGGAATTGAATGGTAGATGTGTTAACTGAGACTAGAGACCTCAGCAATATTCATCCTCTGCTTTTTGAGCAGTTGTCTATGACTGTAGTAACCACTCTCTGCTTCAAAATGAAGGTTCTTTCATGAGGGGTTTGAACTACACTTATCTGTGTGTGTTGGTGGTGTCCGTGAGCAGCTCCATTTGGCAATGAAGTCTATGGAGTATGGCTCACCAGTGAGTACAGGTAGGATTAGTGTTCTCAGGATAGGGCCAGGTAGGGGGAGTGTCTCCATAATACCCCTTACTTCTAATGGACCTTCTCCTACTTGCTGCTATCATGTTCTTAGGGGTTTGGCATGGTATGATTATTGAGTGAGAGATTCCCACTATATCTAGTAGAATGTGATTGTTTTATGGGAAAATCCCACTTTTTACTGCACACTTTATTTGCATACCATAATAAACATAATTTGTATAAGGTAAGGAAGCATAGAGATGTGAGATTGGCTGATGAAAACAAACAAGTTTCATGCATTATAGACACATGCATTCCGCCTGTGAAAAACAGTCTGATGATTAAAGAAGTAATTATGTCCCTACATCCAAGGTTGTGTCTAAACTCCCTGGTCATGTAGCTTACAGAAATGATCTCAGGTTTCAGTGTGCACTTTGAGAAAACAATGGTGTGAAAGGAAATTAAATGACTCTTTTGTGTGTTAAGAAAAATAGATGGTTAGCTAGACCACTTGCTTAAGGTTCTGTAGACTAAAATAAGCATAAAAATCTGCTGCACTATAACCACAAACAGCTGCCTGTCACATAAAGGAACCTGCTGAAATATACTGGGCTTGCTTAACATTTAGTTGATAAATAAGAAAAGAATCATTGCCTTGGGGTGAAGATGTTTTTGTTGGAAAAATAATACAATGGAAAATGTTTAATTACATGTGGGCTTCTAATAAAGCATGTAACTTGTAATCATAATGTGATTTCTTACTGTGTAAGGATGTGAGTTTGTTTTTGGAAAATAACGAACTTGCTTATGTGAGGTGGTTCCCTTCTTGCATAGAGCCTTTTGTCTTAGGTGGTATAAAATAGTTAAGAGAAAATTAATGACAGGAAAGTTAAGTTTTGCCCCCTCTAAGATTTCTGTGTGTGTTTAGCCCCTGATTCTATGCCTCCTGTCCAGTTTCTCTGACCTGCTGTAGCTGGACTCCAGCAGTGTATAATTATAATTATTTAGAATATAGTTAGAAGCTACGCTGATTTAAGAAAGTGGATGAAGTATGTTCTCCTCTAGGGTCTATGACCTCTCCAGCAATTGGTATTTAACTAGGTTTACAGTACAGTACAGTACAGTACAGTCTGAACAGTACAGTCTGAACCCATTGCTATTGAGCAAGCCTCAAATTCAATAAGGTTTATGTTAGTTTGCCCAAAGATAAAAGTGCTGCTATTGCACCCTGTGAAAACCTTGCTGTGGTGGTCTTTATACAACTTCATAGAATTATTTATTGCTTTTCTTCCTTAGAATCTTACATGGAACCTTCATATACTATGAGAACTCGTCTTCAAGGAAGAGTCTTCAGGTCAGTTCTAGCTAAATTTCCCCAATTCCTCTGTCTGAAGTATGTGGTGTGCTTAGGAAAATGGTTTCACCTTCAAATTCTATGAGGACAATCTATGGCAATCGCAATGCTGTATTTTATTTGGAGGAGACTCTGGAAGCCCCTAACTAACAACTTGCAGGGAGTTTTTCCATATTTGGCATTCATTCTAGGTTTGACAAGCACTCTTATGTAAGAGTCTATTTTTTTAAGATTTTATTTATTTATTATGTATACATCATTCCATGTTTATCTGCAAACCAGAAGAGGGCACCAGATCTCATAATGGATGGTTGTGAGCCACCATTATGGTTGTTGGGAATTGAATCAGGACCTCTGGAAGAGCAGTCAGTACTCTTACCCTCTGAGCCATCTCTCCAGCCCAGTGAGATTCTATTCTATGCTTGGCCATTCAAGTTGTTTTTTGAGTTTGACAATGCTGTTTGGCATTCTGTTTTGCTCCCTAACCAGTATGATAGCATATACTGGTCCTTGATTTCATTTCTTTCTTCCTTTACAGAGTGATAAATATGAGTACCAAAGGATTTCATTTTAAACCAGTATTGTGTTTCCCAAATTGAGATGGATCAAAACCTTGGCCTTGTTCCCCACATTGCAGAAGAATTATCAGAGAATCTAAGTCTAATCCCAGGGGAGTAATGACACCATGTCTTCAGGATTTAAGCAAGTGCAATAGAGGACTCTATGAGAGTGGACAATATGAGGGAGGCCTTTCTGGTCAGAGTCGTTCATGACCAGGCTGACTCCTGCATTGTGAGTAGAAAAGGGGAGGGCTGCCTCTGAGGCTCCTCTGGAATCTTGAGAATTCCAACAACTGTGTTTCCTGAGTAAATGGTGTTAGTGAGTGTGAAGATTTCAATGAGAATGGCCCCATAGGCTCATATGTCTGAATGTTTGGTTATAAGCTGGTGGGCTGTTTAGGAAGGATCAGGAGGTGTGGCCTTGTCAAAACAGGTGTGTCATGGCTTTTGAAATTTCAAAGTCAAAGCCAGGCCCTGTCTCTCCCTCTCTCAGTCTCTTGTTGGTGATCATACACTGGCTCTTAGCTTCTGTTCCACGGACATGGATGACTGTCTGCTACTATATTCTCTACAATGATCATCATGGCTAACCCTTTGAAATTGTAATCAAGCTCCCAATTAAAGGCTTTGTTCTTTAGGTTGTCTTAGTCATGGATTCTCTTTACAGCAATAGAAGAGTAACTGAAATCAGAAGTTAGGCTCTCTGTAACATGGACCAAAGAGAGGAAGAATAAATAACTTGTGAAATGAGACTGAAGTAGACTTAAAAGTCTACAGAATATATGTTCTTCATTTGGATATAAATTTGTGGGGTAAAAGCAGAAGATTGCTGGAGAATTTAAACTATGGAGAATTCACTAAACTATGTAAGATATATCAGTAGTATTGAATCCCATGTCTGGGTTTTCCTGGATATGTTTTCTGTCAGAGGTCCTTCACTTAGGGAGAGAAGAGTGTTTTGGGGATTAAATCTTGGATTGTCTTTAGAATCCCATCTTGACAGAATATATGCAAATTCCTAGAAACCTAGGAATTTGACCTCAGATTTGGTGCTGTTTTTCAGAATGCTAGGTAAACCCCACTGAGAGAAGGACCATAGGCCTCCCTCACAGGGCCACTCTCCTCAGCCCTCCTGCACCTTAGTTTGTGTGCAGCTTCCCCTGCATCTCCCTCACTGTGTCACTCAGAGCACAGTAGTACAGGGCAGAGTCTGACAGCTGCATTGAGGATTTCTCCAGGTGGAATGAGCTGTTTCTCTTATGAAGAGTGGCATGGAACCCTTGCTGCTCTGTCCTCTTGTTCTCTGTGGCGCTCCTCAGGAGTAGCTGAGGGGCTTTGTTGAGATATTGCACATACCAGAAAACCACAGGACCTGAATAAATAGTCTGATAAGTGCAGTTCAGCATCACAGGCGACCCCTCTGTGACAGTAACCAGGCCTTCTGTCTGGGCCACTGAGTCTCCATTGCTCTTCCCTTAAAAAATGAAAAACAAATAAATAAGGAGAAGTTACACTGCTGTGTGAGGAAATGGTAAAGACTCACACAGCTGTGAGAAGATGATGTCATCAACACTTAGGTAAATGTAACTCACCAAGCATCAAGAGGAGCAGCAGAAAGGGGCAGGTGTCAGGAAGCATGTTCACAGAAGACAATGACACTTGGTTCTGGAGTTCACCAAACTCACAGGACAAGTCTCCTCAGGACCTTATTGAAACTCCTGACTCATGAACAAGGACCTCCTTCTGCACAGTAACAATCTGTCATGTGAGGCATTAAGCACATCTGAAGAGGCAGCGCCCTCTTCTGGTTTCCCTTCGAACTGCACCATATAAGTCTGCACAACACAGTGAATAAACTTGAAACCTAACAAAAGGAGGCTAGTCTCAAGTACACAGAGGATGTTTGTCATCACCAGTGTATCCTGTGGTATTTAGTGTGATTTAGTGTGATAAATATACATAAAATTAGATGTATATTAACATACCTCATACAATTTTTATACTTTTTCTCATTTTATTAGTCCTTAGGGATCGTTATGCAATGAATTTTGATTATATTCTCTTCCCCCTCCACTCCTGCCTCATTCATCCACTCTTTCCTACCAACCCAGTTCCCTGCCCCTCTCTAATAGAAACACTTCAAGGTTTGCACAGCCCATAGACTCTCGCATGTGTGATCTTCAGTGGAGAGTATTCTATGTACCAAAGCTGCACCAGTAAGGAAACCTGAATCCTCTTCCCAGTAGCTACCGATAGCCCACAGCTCCTTAGCTAAGGGTGGAATGCCCATCTTCTCTCTGCCTGCTGGAATTATGTTTGGCCTGATCCTTTGCTAGTCGTATGTGTGCTGTCAACCTCTATGAGTTCATGTGTGCAGCTTCCCTGTTGTGTCCAGAAAACACCGTTTTCTCCAGTGTTTCTCTGACCTTGGGAGGAGGGTGTGTGATGGAGATGTCTCACCTGGGGCTGAGTGTGCTACAGCCTCTTCCTCTCTGAAAGCACAGCGCCGCACCATGTACAGGAAATGACAAAAGTGTTTTTCAAGTTCTAGAATAATTTTTAAAAGCAAAAGAAGGACAAAACCCTCCTAAATTATTTTGAGTGACTTAAAGCTAACTTCCTTATTTTGTGTTTTTAATGTTTATGCTAGAGGTGGCCTTTGAAAACTAACAACTGACAAAGGCTGCACTGGGAGGCCTGTGACACAGGGTGTGGATGGGGCTCCAGGCCCTGTGGCAGGTTTGAGGACAGGCTGCAGGTGCCAGGGGAGCAGTGTGTATCTGTGGCACAGAAGTACATGGCAGAGTCTCCAGGCTGGGTGTCTGTGATGTGCAGGGAGAAATGTTTGGCTTTTTTAAACTGTAAAACTATCAGTCTTTTGTCCTGCTTTCTTTCCATAGTTGATCGAATATCAATAATGAGCTTTGGATGCTCTCCAGGTCCTTGCTTGTACCAAGGAAAGTAGGATGAGCCACTGTCTGTGTAAGTGCAGTTGATGACAGCGCTGTCTCCGTCTTGGACACTCAGAATGGAAGGAAGCTGCTCCACCTGCTCTCCTTGGCTCAGCCCTATGCAAAGAGATGGAGAGAAAGGAGAAAGGTTTTCAGGTCATCACTGACCAGGATTCTCTTTTTCTAAAGTCCTAGATGAAAGCTGAATAAAATAGAATTCCTAAAATCTTAACTCACCATCCATCTGCAGCCACAGGAACAAGAATAAAGTAAGGACATATGTCTTCATTGTTCTTCCCAATTAAATTAAGATCCAGTGTAGATAGTCATGACTAGCAGGTCAGCTACAGCTACCAGGGTGTTGTTATTTCTCAGTAACATTTATACCTCTTGAGTCATCCACTCAGCACTGAGACAAAGGCTGTGTTTCTGCCCTGAGCCTGCAAAAGGAAGAAACAGGAAGAGAATCCTCTGCACACTCCCCAGCAGCTGAGGTCTACTGCCACCTTGTGGTTGCATCCTTAACCAGTGAGGCCTCTGCTTAAGTGTTCTCTGACCTGTGAGGGACTCAGACACATTAATCAGCATTGTTTCCTATCAACTGGGTCCTAGTGCTGAGAGATCAAGAATGGTATTAACACTCACAAGTGAGTCTGTTTCCTATCTTTAAATCTACCATAGATTATGTAGAATTCTTCATATGTAAACATATATATGTATATATATATGATTTTTCATATATAAATGAATATGTGACATATTTTTGTATATATAAAAGAGAAAGAGAGATTCCTTATGTCTAAAACTGCATTTACTGATGCACTCCCTTATCACAGAATACTCATATCATTCATCAAGCAACTCCTCCTTTTTTTGGAGACAGATATTTAGGTCAGTGTTTGTCCTTGAGAGCTATGTCACCCAAGTAAAGGCTTTTTTCTGTCTCTTGTGGGCTTTCAGTTGCAAAACGACAATGTTCTTTCCATTGCAGTGAGATCTGGTTGACAATACAGGTATGATGTTTATATGCATGCATCTTACTTTCCAGAGAATATGACCTGGAATCACAAGTACACATCGGAACTACTCTTAGGAAAGCTCTCATAAGTCATTTGATCCTATTTGTTATTCTTTTGCTTAAATCAGAAATAATGAAGAGGCACAGAATGAGAATGAGACTATTAGACATATTAACCAGTTTATTATAGGCCCAGCAGAGTAGAGAGACTAAGGGAGAAGAGGTACAGGGTTAATGGCTGACCATCATGGCCGGTCACCCTAGAGAGACAAAGAGAAAAGAAGCAGAAGCAGAGAGAGAGGTACAGAAAAGAGTAAGAGAAGTAAGAGAAGAGGAAAAGAAGAGAGACATAAGTGGAGACATAAGTGGACAGGATTCTGTCTTTTAAAGGGGTCCTTTGCACCTGTGTGAAGACTTAGTTCCCATGGAACCCTGGGCTGACCAGGGTACTGCCTGAGTGGATTCTGCCAGGTAACAGAGGCAGACCAGCATAATGCCTGAACCTTTCATTATTGGCACCATTAATTTCACTCACTCCCACCGAATCTGTACTGAATTACTGATAGAAGAGCAGTGGTGGATTCCTGGAGAATCTACCAAACCTTGCAACTAACTCTACTTTCCTCCTTCCTGTGGACCCTCCCAGCAACACACCACCCCATTTCTAGCCCATTTCCTTTCTTTTGTCTCAACGGTGAAAAGCTACAAACACTGTCTAATTGGTTACTCAGAGTATATATAGACTTGGAAAGTAGGTAGGTCATCTTCACTGTCCTTCTTGTCCTCCATTACAGTCCCCCTGGTACCATCTCCTGTAACAGAAACTTGCAGAGGCCTGTCCTTTCCCTCCTCCTCCGGTCACTTAGGATTCATCAGAACATCCAGTCCTAAAAGGAATGTCCCCATCAAACTTCTCCCCTCAGGGTTTAGAGAATTGTGCAGAAGAGGAAGCAGAAAGATTATACAAGCCAGTGGGGATGGATGCCCTAAGGAAACAATGCCCTCCAGACACAGTAAGACTGGCTCACATATGAACTCATAGAGACGGTGACAGCAAGCACATGGCCTGTACAGATCCTATACCGTGGTGAGAGGTGAAGTGAACATTGTCGTGACCCGGCATGTCTCAGCTTTAACCCACAACAGCCATGAGGTTCTACTTGAGTGGGGGTGTGTGGACCTGGAAGCTCCCAGCAACCCAGCGATGATAAGGACCAAACATAGGCATCTTGTCATCTTCAGAGAGCTCTCAGTTCCATGTTGTAGAACTAGAGTGATTTCTTTATTAGCCATCTTTTCTGGTGTTTCTTACCCGTCCTGCCATGACCATGAGGGAATCATCCCTCTTTGTTCTCCTCTCTCCTCTAGTCACTCGCCCCTCATTCTTAAACTTCTGTCCTCACATGTTACTCACACACCTCTCCCTCTGCCCAGGTGAGGGCCTATTTAGATGCTTAGGTGCATAGAGATGCAAATTAGGAGGCATATTAGCCTGAGGCCATGGTAAACAATAGTAGCCTTATAGGCATTAACAATACAATGATGGACCAGAGCTTTCCAGTGCCTCTGTTTACAGGAGCTAGAGACTGGGCCCCAAAATATTCCATAACAGAAATATTTGGTCCCCCCACAGAACAAGATCTTTCATCCCTAACCTAGATCCTATCTCCAA